ACAATGTCTCAAATTCAAGTATTAGGACAAATTTACTCAAACTAAATTAAGCTATTTTGAAGTTAGTATTTGGCCACATAACACTTAGATACAATAAGTACGTCAAATCTTAATACTTACTGTACACTCTATAAACAGCTTCTTTGTTAGATTCAAACTAACAGAGAAAAGTGAGGAAAAAAGAGGAATTTATTTTAGACATAAAAGCTTATACGAGGGGCCAGAAGACGATAGTGGTGTTTCTTTAAAGATGGCCCTCTAAGAGGGTTAAGTGCTGGTATAGTACAGTACATGTTACAGTGTTGACTGCTTGGGTATGATCATTTAAACACCATCTGTTAACATTTTGTAGTGAGTCGTGTGCAATGCTGTATGTGATAGACAATCTGGAAAACTAATTGTGCTTGCCAAAAACATTTCAGAAAAAAATGGATCTTTGTCCTTGACCCTGTTTTAAACCAGATTTCCCTATGCTTACATTTCCTATGGCATTACATCATGTGATCTTTCCATTTCCCTTGGCTATACATAGGACAGGGCCTTTGTCTGCTTGAGTAGCCTCAGTGTGTATACAGTATCTTAATTTTTGTATTCTTAATCCCATGTTTTGTGCCACCTGTTTTGTCTGGATGTTAGCCAGTACCCTGCACAGCACCTCTTTGACCATTAAACTAATTGACAGTGTAAATATTTTAACAATTTCTGTGATATTATGTTACTTTTAGTCTTTAATAATACATAATTTAAGAAGTTCAGCCCACACTATTTGCTTGTCCCAATGTGAGCCTAGTCTGTCATGACTTCAGCCTGAGATGTGAAGGAAAGATACAGAATAATGTGGATTCTCTTTTAAAACTGTAAGTACATTACAGTATTTTTTTGTTTTGCAGCATTTCATGAGTTGCGTGACTTACTTTTAGTTGGTTAGCAAATAAATAAAACAACCAATGGTGATTTGTTAGCATTTTAAAACTTATTTGACATATTACCATTTAAGGATGCCCCTTGAACATACGTAGAACAGGCTGCCAAAATAGCATTTTAAAAATAAAGTGAATAAAAAATAACAGAGCAAGGGGAGAAGATTTCTGCTGTTACAAAATTCTTCTAAGTGAATATAATAGCAATAATTATGTTATATTTATTAAAAGATAAGATAAAATATGATAATTAAGTAACCGTCATAAGTGAAATATAAATGTCCAGGCAGATTTATTAGCATTAATAGGACAGGAATATACAGTATTTAAGAATTAAGATTTTTGAACATTAATACAATTAAAGTAGAAACCTAGTCTCTCACAATGTCATGTTTGATATTTTAGTATCCTGACCTTGCCAGAACAGCTTTATTTACAGAAACTGAATTACCCCAGTTTGTCGCTGCCTCTGTTTATAAAATAGCTGAAAATTCCTGTTGTACATTTATTAGTTGCAAGTAGCAGCCTGGGGAGTGGTTATAAATGAATGCATGGCCTCTGCCTGTATAGTCACTCTGGCCCAGGGCAGATCTTTTACTCACTGTTCATCAGATTCACATACAGGTCAGTAGCTTCTTCTGCGGCAATTACTTACATAACTAACAATACAGGAACAACAAGGAAAGGCGTGATCATAGCTAGTTTTAGTCATTGTTTTATTTATGTTTAAAATGTAGAAAACTAAATAGCAGTACAATATATCTCAAAACAGCTGACTAATATCTGAAATGTGTTGGAATGTAGATTCTGAGGAGCGTATGCTTACCCTTTGTGGTGTTATTTTATTCTCAGTACAGAAAATATATATATCCTTTTTTAAGTTAAGGTTTTAGAGGACCTTACACCAAGATTAACGGAGGAGTATTTTCTGATGTCTCCGCAAAGATACAATGTATTGGGTAATTCATGAAGCCTGCTCACAGTGTGCCAAGTCAATCATTAAAATTTTATTTTGGAAGTATTGTTTTCTTGTTTCTTTTGAACAGAAGATGTCAAGTATCGTAGGAAAGTAAGAGTAAATACATATTTTAATTTCATCATGCCTATTATATATTGCATATATTGTATAGGTATTCAAGATGTTATTTGGGAATAGATAAAAGTTGGAGATTTCACAGCAGTGAAAAGTGCTACAGAAAGACTATAAAAATGAAATTTAGTGCCTAGACATTTATTCCTTTCAAGGAAACTACTGTTGGACATACAGTATGTATGGCACACTGCCAAAATTAAATCATGTTTTAAAGAATATGACTATGAGTATTCTGGCTGGCTGAATGCCTCATTCTTAGTCCAAAACCTCTAGCTACCAATCAATCCATTCAAATAAAGCATGCATAGAAAATAATTACTGTAAGTAATCAAATCACTAACTACAGGCTCACAAGAAAAAGAACCTGACTAATGATGAGTGGATATGACATTTTATAGATGGTACATTTAAGAAAATGTTTGATTTCAGCAAATCAATATTTATCATGAAAAAGCCTGACATTACTTGTTGATAATGAATGAATTTGATTCCTCAGAAATCATCACTATTGTGGCTTTGTCACGATTTGTTGTTATTATGGAGCAGCAGGATCTGTGAACTGCAAGCTGTATCACAGTTCACCATATGGACAGTTAACAGCAAACTGTCGCCAAAAACATTTTTTGGGGTAAATTCACTCCCTGGTTTTATTAGGTTAATATTTCTCTAAATTATTTAAATACTTAATAATGCTCTTACAGAATTATGTGAAGGAATCTAATTTTATTTAAGTCGTGTTATACTTTCAATTTTTTCTCAAGGTATTTGCACAGAGAATGGCTGTACAGTGAGGTCTGTACTCCAGTGCTCTGGAACATCATCGTAAAATAATTCAGTGACTCCGCCACAAAGGGTACTTTTAAATCCTTGCACTTAAAGAGTGTGCTGTCCTAATTTTCCTTGTTCATACATATTTTTGTGCCTTTTACGTTGTGAATAGACTTCATCACTGAATACAGAGTCGATCTGTTTGGCACATCAAAAATGTTTAAGCAGTGCTGTGATTCGCCAGTTCTAATTGGCTGATATGATTCATGTTTTTGTGTTACGAGTTGTAAAGTGTTGCTAGCAGAAGAAACTCACTTGGTAATTGTTTGGCAATTGTCAAGGAATTTAACTTTAAACTTTGAATGAAAAGCAGCTGGGAGATGAAAGATACTGTACATCAGGTCTTGATTGTGCGACAGATGCAGAGCCTTAGAGAACTGAAATAGGCAGTTCAAAAAACAGCTTGTGGGAAACATTATAGAAATATCTGTTTTTGACACTGCCATAATAAAATCAACTATAAGAAGCTATTTTTTCCATATTTTTGTTGTCTGATTCATCTTACTAAAAGTTAACAGATGGTATGTTGAAGACAAATGTGCTCTATGCTTATAAACCCTCTCTCACCTGCCTCACCAAACCCTTCACACCATGTGTACCGGTGGCATTAGCTAAATATTTACAATTTTCTGTCCATAGACATAAACGTCTAAGACACTTCAACACATTTGATACTGTAGCCCTCATTTAGGAAAGCCTTGAGGCAGAACAACAAGTAAGATAAGGCACGCTTAAAAGGTACAGTGCTCACATAAGGGCATGTTTTGACTGCGTAGTCTATGGAACAGACTGTGTTTGTCATTATGTTACATCTCCTGTTTCACTATATGCTGTTGCCTATAGACAGTTAATTCATTATTAATCTGCCTGTTAGTTAGTACAGCAGGCTGTCTGCAGCTCTGGTGCACGTGTTTCATTAAGGCCTGCGGATATCTGGTCTTGTGGCAGAAGCATTTTTTAAAATTAAATCTTTCTTCAAATAGGGTGGGAAAATCCTTTCAGTGGATTCTCAATTTGTTTGACGTGCAAAAGGTCTGCTCTACGTCTATGTCACGGTGTTTCTACTCTTGATATATTGTAGAATTAGAGAAGACAAAAAACTGAACACTAACAGGACACCCATAAAAGTTCTCCTGCCGCGTCGCCACCTGTTCGTAGACCTTATTGGGAATTCTTGAAAGACACAACCCTTGCATCATCCTTTTATAGATCATGGCCTACAGAATTCCCCTGGCCCGAAAATCTTGGTGTGTAATGAGTCCTGGTCTGGATTACAATATTGTTGCACATCAGCCCGAACCCGGTTCGACAAGAGAGGACAGTGACAGAGAATAGGCAGGAGGCAGGTCTGCAGCTTCACAGAGTTCGAGGTTTAATTGCACTTTTAGTTACAGAGGTGTGCTGTTCACCAGGGAGAGATAAGGTGGAGAGACAGGGGATGTGTAATTTTCCGCTAAGGTGGTTTTTCTTCTATAGGGTACAGTGGAGGGGAGAGAATCTGCTGCTCCAGGTCATGGGGCAACGGCACAGTCCAGAACTCCAGGAGGGAGCGAAATGCTACAGTATTTTATCAAAGTATTTGCTACTTGAGTTCTTAGTCTATCTGAACGTGGCCCGGATAATTTTGCACGCACTGCATTAGCAAATGCACACCGAACTTGCCAATGCATGACCATGATTTTAACTGGAGGTTTTTGTTTTCCATATGCAATAAAGTGCAGAATGAATATAAAGTGTAAACAGGGGGCATTAGCATTGCTGCCTCACAGCACTGAGGCCCTGGGTTTAATTCCTGTGCTATCTGTGTGGCGTAAACAATTGACTCTGGTGTCTATGTGTGATGGACTGGCTTCCCATCCAGTGTGTATCCTGCGATGCACCTGTTGCCTGCCTGGGATAGGCTCCTTGCTCCTCCCATGATCCTGGATGGATGGATCAAATATTTTTTTTAAAAAGCACAGGGTTTTGTACTATGATGATTTACATGAATGAGCCTCTGAGAAGCAAACCGTATTTTTAGTGGCCTTAACCAGCTTTGGTTTGCATGAATGGTGGCTAAATGAGGAAAGGCTCATGTCGCAACCCTTGTTAATTCCTTTTAATCTTGAACTATCTTCAAGTACTTAGCCCTGCTTCTAAAGCTACGTGGGGGACTGCTATGGAGATCTGTGCAAGTCTCCGTCTCCAGTTTTCACACTGAATGAAAGCAGTTCTACATGTTAAAGGACCTGGGAGGCACAGATCATCTTATAAAAGTGCTATTTGGAAAGACAATGTAAGTGAATACTTTAGATATGCTGTATATACACAGTCGTAAATTCCATGTTTACCTGATTTTTTTGAAGATGGAAGAAGCACAAATAACACGAAGTAGGGTGCAAAATGTTTACCATAAGCTGTTGTATTATCTATAGTATTTATGCCCTACTTTGGGTTTTTTTGAAGAAAATTGTGTTTTTTTTATATTGTGCTATGAACCTGCTAATTGCACTACTACAAACTATATACTTTATTGTTTATTTTTAAAGGTTTGTGGTCTGTGGGTCTTCTGAATCAGTGAACCTAACTCAATCATCTAGAGTATTGTGTTTTTTAACTGTAAAAAGTTTATAGATAGAATTGAATGTGCTCAGTAGGGTTGAATGGAAGAAATACTGTCTAATTTGCTGATGTCTGTGATAGTTTTTTAAATCAGGATGATGATGAAAAAAAAGCAGCATTTCTTAAAGTTCTACACATTAATTAATTTAAAATATTGGTTGGTTTGTTTACCCTCTTGCAGTTTAAAACAATACTGGTGTTAGGAATTTCACAGCAGGCAGTCCAGAGTAAGCTTTAAGGTCTACACAAATCTTTATCCCCTGGCAGATTTGCATTTTTACATGCATGGTACAGCAGAAGAAATCTGTGTGAAGCACCTTACTTTGACTTTAAGATGAAGCAAAACCAACAGGTGTGACTCGTAATGTAGTTTTCTATCAATAATACTCCTACACCACTAACATTTATACTTTGTCCATAGTGGATTTGTTTGTAAACTTGATCATGTGAACTGTGCTCTCAGCAGGCAAGAAATTCCAAAAGGCTCATGGTAAATCCTGATAAAATTTCTTCCTGGATTTTTTTATTGTTTATTTTCTGTTTTCTGTTTTTTTGTTGTTTTTTTTTACAGGTTTTTGTTATGAGAGAGCAATTATGTATTGAGTATATATGCAGTATATATTCTCACGTTGTAAAAGAAAAACAAACATTAGGAACAAAAAATAGTATAAACTAATTTAGTTTAATCCATAAATGATTTAAACTGCAAGAGGGTGGCATGGTGGAGCAGTGGTTAGCATTGATGCCTTGCAGTGCTGGGGCCCTGGGTTTAGTTCCAGACCCAGCGTAATGTCTGTGTGGAGTTTGTATGTTCTCCGTGTGTTCATGTGGGTTTCCTCTGTGTCCTCTGGTTCACTCTTACAGTCCAAAGACAACCTGGTAGGTAAATTGGCTAATAGAAAGTGGATAGATAAATAGAAGTATTGTATCAATGAAGTAGGTGGTGTTGCTGTGATTTTATATTGTTTTTTTCACCCTTTAGACTTTCCTCTGTTTAAAATGAAAACTAATAATGGTGTGCAAAAACAGCTTATTGATTTGTGGTATTTATTGATGTTGGTAGAACTTCAGTTATCATCATGGGTAGTGGTAAAAATTGAAAGAGAGCTAAATCTGCTCAGACAGAAGATGCTAATACTTGTGTATGCAAATTCACAGATATGTGCACAGTATATACTAAAATAATTTGGAAATACTAGTTTTCCAAATATCCAAAGTTTTCTCTGCTAAGAATTTCTTATTTGTCAGCAGACTACAGGGGTGGTTAAGATACTGAACTGGATAGGGGTGGCATCAGAGTCTGGGTGAGGCACTGCTTTTACACCGTTGTGCAAGAAACATTGCCCAGATTGCTTCAGTACATGATCCATCTGTATAAACAGGCACAAATGATCAATCAAATCATCAGCATTACTTGAACTTACTCTTCATGATCCTTTTTCCGCAGTCCTAACCATTTCTTGAATGTGAAATAACAAAACTGTTTGAGCACACCAACAAAATCAAGATGTTCTTGTTCTACAGTACATGCATTAAAGGACTGGTTGTTTGTTTTACTCTCATAGCAACAAAGTCACAGCTCAGAGACGCCATAACGTGTAAGGACCAAATAAAGATTGCCAAATCTGGAAACACTACTGAACCACAACACATAAAGCTGCTCACACAACTGGGCGACCTGTAAGAGCCATAAACAGTCATCAGTCATTTTGCGGATAAAAATGAAAACCACCCATCTGTGTATTAGCAAAGCAAGGAGCTTTCTGATGAATCAGGCACTTTTGTATTATGTAGCCACAGCATAGCCATGAAACACACTCTGTGCTAAGGGCCAACTACAGTATATAAAGACTGACAGCGTGACCTCCTGTCATTTGGAACCTTCATTATGGCCCCAGCTGTCTGAACATGATAAGAAAGAAAGTACACTCTTTAAGCAACATCTATCACTTCTGATTTATTGATGCCATGGTGCTTATAATATAAAAGTAGAATTTCCTTTCAGCATTGCTAATTTCTATTCTGATCTCAAATAATCTCGAAAGACACCTGCAGGTACCCGTGCCTTTCTGAACGTGTCTCCAGTGAGTTTGTGCTTTTGGGTACAGGCTAGCAGTGTAAAGTAAACAAGCTAATTGTAAGTCCTTTATGTAACATATTTTAATAAAGGAGGATAAGCTCTTTACACAGACTCTCTTGTTTACTTTTCATAACCTTTAAAGAGTAGCCATTAGGCTTTTATTTTTTAAAGCCCTCGTTCTTTCAGTTTACCAGGGGAAATTATGAAGTCATTTTCAACTGTTTTATACAGTCAGTAACAGCATATTTCTGTAGAGCCTCTGTTTTAAAGGACAGAAGGCCAGTAGTGGTTTCTTCTTATTATATGTGTTTGCTTTTTCTTGTTGAGATGACTCATACTGCTGCATTTCAGCACTGGATCATGAAGTCATTTTAAAGCATCACTGCATCATAATGTTGCATTATCATTGTCTGCAGGTTTGGGAGCACCATATACACCAGAACTGTTAAATGTTTAACAGCTATTAGCAGACACTGTCTTTGAACCACTGCTATTTTCATTGTTTATTCATGGCTCATGCTTTTCGGAAGTAAAGGCCATGTCTCTCATGGCAAGAGTCTGGATGTCTTACTCCTGCCAGAAGACACCCCATACTGCATATCATCTTTTATTACCAGCCCAAAGAGAAAGAGAGGAACCCTGACACCAGCTCTCTGTAGGTGTTGGAGTCTTACAATTATAGGATACACTTCTTTACCCAAACGCTTGCAAGAGAATGGGTATACAAGCTACCCAGCCATGTAGTTGAGGCCAATACTTTGACTTCCTTCAAGAAACAACTGGATGAGACCCTTAATACACTATTGACAACAAACAAGTATGGGTATGGGTTATTAGAGAACCTCGCGCCTGACGTGGGGCACGAACCCACTTCCCTGAGATTATGAGTCTCATGCTCTACCAATAGAGTTAGTCAGGGCACAAGTATATGAGTATACACAGTGCATATTTAAGATATTCAGAAGTATGTAAATCTAACAGACTGGTGTCAAGGGTGATGGGAGCAGTGCTGTGCTCCAACCAACCTTGAGTTTTGTGCTTCCCAAGACATGCTTCTGCCTGCTATGATCCTCACCTGGAAAAGTGACTTCCTGAAAATAGTTGGGGAAGATAAATATATCACCACTTTTAAATCCTCTCTGCCTGTTTTTAAAATGAAAATAGATGGGGTAGATAAATATATCACCACTTTTATATCCTCTCAGCCTTTTTTTAAAATGATTTAATTTCTGTACAACATGGCTAAATGGTTTATTATGTCAAAGTACCTCCTCTGCGTACAGCTCACAGAACATGTCAGCTTTGAAATACGAATGAAAAGTTTCACACACCCAAGCCTCCTATTGAAGGACATAATTAAAACAAACACCTATAGTTTATATAGTTTAAAATATGATACGTACTGTACAGTAATAAAGCTAATTCATTAGTGAGCCAAAAAGAGAAAGCTATATTTGCTCGTAGGCAGATTAAAAAGAAATATTGGCAGCTGACTCTTGAAACTGATCTGTATGAACACTTCTGGACTTAATAAATAATTCATTTAAACATCTGACAGTGATCAGCAATTTGTACAAAATTCCAAATGCTGCTCACACTTTTTGCACAGAACACGAGTCAACATTACAGAAAAAAATGTACACCCTTTACATCTCAAATTGAAGTGCCATTTTTTAAAAAACACCTGAAAGAGTGTTCCTGCACAGGGTTTAAAGCTAACAGCAGTACCTACCATAGTTTGCCTACAGGACACGGACAATTTAAATACCAAATTCTCCTTTAACCTTTTCAGTGTTCAGACAAGTGCTTTGGAGGATAAATATATTAAAAGCTTGCTGTCATTCTAAGTGAATACTTTGTGTTGTCGTAAACATAGGAAGGAAAATTCTACAGGAAAACAATATTTACGAGATCCTTTAAAATCAGAGTTGGAGGGAATTAGCCCGGGCAAATAATTTTAAACTGACCATGAGCGGAAAAATTCCATCCCCCCTGGATGACAATATTAACTTTTCCCGTTCTAGGAGATCACTCTTGAAGATGTTTCCGGTATCTGGGAAATCGATTGTCTTTGACAACTTTCCTGATCCTTCTGACACTTGGGAAATAATTGAAACAATTGGCAAAGGGACGTATGGTAAAGTCTTCAAAGTACTGAACAAGACCAGCGGAAGCAAAGCAGCAGTCAAAGTCCTGGATCCAATCCATGTACGTAAGTCAAGGGTTCTATTAAATGAACAGTATGAGAATTCAAATAGAATATTATTTTGCACATTTTCAAGTAAGAGCTAATACTTCTTCTTTAAAAAGAAGAAATAATTCTTCTTTTACATGCCAAGAGCTTTATATAGAAATCTACTTTTGAGATTTTTTCCAAACCTTTTGATGACAGTGACTGTACTACGTACTATGTACTGTACAATACTATATTACTATGTAATATAGTTTTTTTTCCTGAAACAAATGGATTCAAAATATTTTGCACCTGATGACAGATCAATTTTGTCAATCAGCAAGGTTTGCTCCCTTTCCCTAAAATACAGTGATGTATCGAAAATGTTCAACTGAAACGTAAAAGCAGTTGTAAAAAATTAAATGTACCGGAAAATACTATATTTTGTGTATATTGTGTAGTTTCATCTATCCCAAAAACAAGGAAATGGTGTTTTTGGTTTACCAGTTTAAGGATGATTTCTCCACTCCAAAAATTGTCTTTCTGGTATTGTAACACCTACAGTACAGTAAGTGTTCTGCAATCAACAATTTACCTCCTTCATTCTTCACAAACATTACCATAGGAGTGTTTTCTGATGGTACTAATACACATTCAAAGTGTGTATTAGAAAAGACAGATTCAGATTCTTAACTGACTTTAAGTTGGATGTTTTATTGGTAAACATGCATTTTATATATATATATTCTGTGTGAAAATTATAAAGGAAATCTATACTCCTTCAGTCCCCAGTAACATACTGAATATAGATTGTCATACAGTTTTCGCTGACATGCATTATGAAGAATAATTATGAATTTTCAGTTCTGAGTGCATGATCTAATATTAGCCTCTAAATCATGAAGCACTGGATCTTCCAATTTGTATAAAATATCTTTTGAAGGAGATTTTATTTTGTATTCATTAAATGCAAGACAATTTCAATTAACTGACCCTTTCAAGGCCTTCAAGATTTAGATGAAAAATAACAGAATGAGCATGTCAATACCCAGGTGACAGCTTGGGCTTTCAAATTATGGAGAAATACTATATGTAGTCAGGATTCAAAATGATAAATACTTGTATCTGTAACGGATTTTTCGCACAAACCTTGGCAAGGCATGGTTATTAACCTTCCTGTAATAACACACACTAGTATCTAGAATATAAGAGCACAGACTCTTTGCAGTTTAATTTACTGAAGTCTTTGTTATTCATTGCAAATGTGTTCATGTGTAGTGATGCCTGCTACTTATTTGAGTGTTTAATGGTTAGGAAACTTTGGGTTGATTTACATGAATTGAAAGTCCTTAATTTCTGCTTCATCATTCCAGCAAACCTTTGGTTTAGTGTGAATCTTTTAAATGAAATTTATATGAAAAGAATGCTTTCTAAACATCTGGGGTTTAGGTATCTGAAGATTTTTTCTCCCTTTGCCCTGTACTGTAGAACAGCTGTCAGCTTCAGTTACACGCTCACCTTCATTGCTGACTTCATCTATACATCTGTCCTGGAGCTCTGATCATCTTTTAATAAAAACAGGTGTTTAGAAAACAGATCATACTTCATCAGCACCAAAATAGTACAGTTCATTTGAGATTAATTTTTACCCTGCAAGCGCCATGTGTAGCAGTTTTAATTCTTGAATGCAGTTGTATGTAACAGACAGGTGTGCGAAATCAGATCAAATGAAAGGTGTGTGTTAATTATTAACTCTCTCTAAATGATGAGTGAACAGCTGCAAGTAAGGACCCCCATTGAAATGATGCATCTTCCAAGAGACATAACTTCTCCAATTTGCCGTCAACCAGATTAGAAGTGCTTCAGGATTAATACTTGTATAAATCAATTAAGAAAATAATTAGTTTAATTTCAAAGAGAGGAAGACTACGTAGATGGCCAGTATGGGTGGAAGAAATTTCTGTGTCATATATTTCACTGAGAGCCTTTCACAAACTGTAATAAACACTACTAGTTTATTATGGGGTTTTATGGTAGTTTTTTTTTCCTTTTATAAAAAGTTTAATATTAATATTAATATTGTTCTTTGAAACTAGGACATCGATGAAGAAATTGAAGCTGAATACAACATCCTCAAAGCCCTCTCCGATCACCCCAATGTCGTCAAGTTTTATGGGATGTTCTACAAGAAAGATGTGAAAAATGGGGATCAACTGTGGCTCGTCCTTGAGGTGCGTTTCTTTCAGGAACAAAGAAACAAACACCCGTGGCATTTAGTGATTGATTTCTTTGTTCAGATATTCACCTCAAATGGGACTGAACATTTGCATTTTGTAATGTGCATAATTATAATATCTTGTAAGGATGTTGTGCAACCTCACAGTTATAAAAAATTAATCCCGCAATGTACAGTGAGTGTTGTTCTGTACTCACCTTTTAAAAAGGTTTTTGCCCCTTTGACTGAAAACAAAAATATTATCAACCATTTTCATTATTATTTGAATGCTTGAAACTGTCAATGGGATTGAGAGTAGGAATAATGAAGATGATTACTGCTGTAGAATAATATTGCAAAAAGTGTCAGTTATCAGTTCTCACAGAAAAGTTAATCTCTTAACTATGATTTGTCCCTTTAGATGAGCTGAACGTTGAGATGGAAGCACTGGCCTCCTGCCAGTAGATTTCCACAGTATAGCAGAAAACGCAACCCCTTAGCCATTTATAACGACAGTGGCTTTTTGCATTCGGTTAATAACATTTGCTGATTGTTTTTTTCCGGCATCTTTCTTTACCATGCAATCTTTCTATTCACAAGCTAATAAGCTGATGGCATTATGTGGTGTTCTAAAGCTGCCAACCATGTGTATTAACAGGTTAGCATACAGTGCGCAGTACGATAAGCATTGCATAACAGTCTTAGTCATCTGAGGCTTTGCAGCACATTGTATTAGCAGTGCCTGAAGGATTCATTGTATCCACCTGTATCCTGCTTGGAGAAGCAGCAGCTGAATTCTAAATCTTTAGGGGACCAAAATTGTTGCACCACAACATTTTTAGCACCATCCTCAGGGTAACCAGTATGAAGTAGACCCTGCAGCTCAGAAAAATAAAATACCCTGTCACTGAAAATGCTTTTCTGAAATGAAATGGTTTCTGTAAGTGTCAGGTGTTTGTCTAACATTGACACAGAAGACTCTGATTTGCACATCGACCCCAATATGTTAAGCAGCTTCCTTTTCCAATATTTAATCTTATGAATCTGTGTTTCATCTAACAGTGGTGTAATTGTGATTCACCGTACCTGTGAGTTGTTTTGTGATTTGACCACAGGGTCAATGACACTCTGTGAAGAAAATCATTCAATGTTTAGGTTTTTTGTGATTTATATTGTACCAAATATTGTTCAAGGCAAGTTTGTTCATCTTAACTGTTTAAATAATAGCAATTGTTTAGACATTTGCTTGAACTCCCTAGAATAATATAGAATAATCCAATGCTCTTGTTTAATTCCTAATGTTAGAGCACTTATTTCAAGTGCAGGAATGAGCAAAAACCAGTCATGTTAGAAATCATTTGCTTGAATGTTAATCAATTTGTTTTCTGATTATGCAAAATAGGGAGAATAAAATGCCATGGAGTGTAGAACAAATGCCAATTTGTACAGTATTAAGTACAGTAATCCCTCATTATCTTAATTTATTCCCTCAAAACCGCTCAGAAAGTGAAAACTCGAATAACAGAAATTAAATTCCCATTAATTCTCATATATCTGATTGGCTCCAGAAGTAAAAAATGTTCCTTCAGACACCTTAATTTCACTTCAATATAGCAAAGAACTATCTAAACATAAATTCTCGTTAAGTAGGAATTACATCTCGTATAAATGAAAACAGGGATGGCATGGTGGTGCAGTTAACCATGGTGGTTAGCATTCGGGCCCCAGGGCCAATAGCTGTGTGGAGTTTGTATGTTTTCTGGGTTTCTGACGGTTGTTCTGGTTTCCTGCCACAGTCCAAAGACATGGTAGGCTAATTGGGTTCTGAGAAATTGGCCCAGGTGTGAGGGTGTGTGTGCTTGTGTTTGTGTCTGTCTGCTCTTGGATGGACTGGCGTCCCATCCAGGATGTGTCCTGCCTTGCACGCGTCGCTTACCAGGATAAATTCCGTTTACTCTGCAACACGGTATGGGATAAAGTGGTTAGAAAATGGATGGATGGAGAAATGAAAACTAAAGTAAATCCCAACTTACCTAAAGTGTCTGACCGACCACATGATAGGGGGTCAAACTGGACATGATTGCTTTCTCCATTGTAAAATTTACCTGCAAAAATGCAGACAGGAGCCAACTAATTTTATAACCTACTACAGCATTGATATAAATCTACAGTATGTGATAGCTAGCGGATCGCCATCAAAGATATGAAAAATCTGAGCAATATTACCAAAAATATGGGAGACATCATTGCCTGAGCAGTCAGACAAGTAAAACCAGGTGAAGATGGACATCCCTGGGAACACCTCCTGGAAATAATAACCTGGGAGGAGCATTTGCCTATGGACAGCAACAAATCCCAAACCCATAAAATTTAGAATTCACAATATACAGTACAGTAGACCCTTGCCAGTGTCCAGTGAAAGAATGAACAATGGGCAGCAATGTGCTGTGTACTGTATATAATGTAATTATAATAATTAATAATTGCTTACACTAATATAGCATTACTTTTCTGGACACTCCACTCAAAGCGCTTTACAGGTAATGGGGATCCCCTCCACCACCAGTGTGCAGCATCCACCAGCCATAGTGCGCCAGAACGTTCACCACACATCAGCTATCAGTGGGGAGGAGAGCAGAGTAATGAAGCCAATTCATAGAGGGGGATTGTTAGGAGGCCATGATTGATAAAAGGCCGATGGGAAATTTGGCCAGGACGCCTGGGTACACCCCTACTCCATTCGAGAAACACCCTCGGATTTTTAATGACCACAGACAGTCAGTACCTGGGTTTTACGTCTCATCCAAAGGACAGCGCCTGTTTACAGTATAGTGTCCCCGTCACTTTACTGGGGCATTAGGACCCACGTGGACCACAGGGTGAGCGCCCCCTGCTGGCCCCACTAACACCTCTTCCAGCAGCAACCTTAGTTTTTCCCAGGAGGTCTCCCATCCAGGTACTGACCAGGCTCACACCTGCTTAGCTTCAGTGGGTTGCCAGTTGTGAGTTGTAGGGTGATATGGCTGCTGGTGTGTAGTGGAGGTGGAAATGTTATTTGATGACCTCCTGTTGGCAGTGTACTAATTTGGCCGTACAGGACTCCACCCAGTTTGAGAGATTAGTGGGATGAATGATAGCTTGAACAAGGTAGGAGATCTTCTTTCAATTAAAGGGATCTAAAAGCAACATTAACATTCCTCTTAGATAAACCCTGCTCAGTGGCATTCATTTCAAGTATCATTTCATGAAAAGGGCAGAAAGTCAGGTAAAGCATACAGTAGGTGTACCATGAAAGGTGATTTACCTTTTGTTATGTACTGTAGCTCAGGGCGGGATGCAACTTTAATACAATCTGTTCTATTGTAACGGGAGAGTCCAGGCTCCGTGAAGCGTTGTTCAGGTCCCTATGCAGACGGTATAATCCGGAAGTAAGTGGAGAAGGACAAAGGGGAGGAGACAACGAGGATCAGAGCAGGTTGACAGACAGGGGGGTGTGGCGATGGTGATCTGGTGCTCGGGGCACGTGGCCAAGGCGAAGTAGTCCAAGGAGTCCAGGGGGGAAATCCGGGGTGAAGTCCAAAAGTTCAAAACCGGGTGATCCAATCGAGACAAGAAAAGACGAGGGTAAGATCCGGTGCAGGGACAGGGAATAAAAACGGGATGACGAGGCCAGGCGGTTCGAGCCCCGGACTCAGACGGTCAGGACACCGTGATGAAGCCTGTGCTGTCGGGTCTCTCCTGGACCCGCTGGTGGGCGGGCTTCCAGGCATCCATCTCCCAATGCTGAGCCCAGAATAGCGAGAGCGCCAGGCTTAAATAAGGAGGGGCAGAACAGGGGACAGGTGAAAGTAATCAGGTAAAATACGAAAGAGCTAGAGCACCCTTAAGAGCAGAGATTACAATCGTGACCACTATAAGACAAATTTGAATGGACAAATACTGTAAGTGGAAGTGCATTTACAAGTGAGAACAGGAAGCACTTCGTTACCTTAAGGGAGAGTCATGGGATTGTGGAACAAGTTAACCAGTCCTGCTGAAAGCAATATTTAGAAGAAACAGCTGGATGAGATCCCTTAATCAATTAGCTACTACTAACTATTGAACAGGGTAGAGGGACAGAAAACTGGCAATTGAAATGAAACCTTTCTTAACTGCTTTTTGTCATCATTATCATCAACATCATCATCACCATCAATATTAATCTATACAGATTAATTTTTAAAGAACTGTTATCATACTTTCTTATATATTTTCTCTTATATACATGGATGGGGTTATATCAGATTTTTTTATCCATTAGTTCAAATTTGAAACATTTTGAAGAATGGTCACTACAGGATACAACCTGTAATGTCATTTCCAAGCAGACAAGCTGAAGTGACCTTTTGCACCCAGGTTTCACATTTCATTTGCCTTTGAAACCGTTTGTGTGGAAGCAACATACTAGAGGTCAATGTGTGATAAAACACTCTTCTTCTGAAAAGTATTAAGAAAGATTAAAAAAGAATTGAAGTGTTTTTATCTTTGTTCATCCATTTGTAGTCTTATGGATCGACAATAGCCACAAAAAATGAACAGTAATGGACATCTGATTGGATGCAGAGTACTACTAGAGAACTGTCAACCTCATCCTGTTGTCGTTGTGTTATACATAGTACTCTAGGACTTCTACAGATATTTAACCCTTAGTTGCTGATTGATTAAAAATAATTGATTTAGGAATTAATTAACCGATTAATCATCACTTGTGAAATGAGCTTCCTAAATCAGAATTAATCTCTCAGCTACTTGTGTGAGCTTCAGTTGTAAGTGGGTTATGGAAGCTGCCTCAACAATTTTTATTTCATTATATAATGAGGTAAAAAATCAAAATGCAAACACATGAAAATGTACTGAGGAATCACTACACACTGTTAAATTATACTGCTAGTTTCATTCCATAGGTGCATATACAGTAATTTACCCAGCAACCCAGTAAATATAAATATTATATATAAATATATAAATATAAATATG